GGGTCTACACAGATACTGTACATGGGTAGGGTGAGGTCTAGGGATCGAACCCTGGGTACTGCATCCGCCACTGCTAAAAGGTGAAAACCGTTTCACACCGCATGTGGGACATGCAATAAGAAGATGTGGTGAATGATGGCACCGAGGATAGTACATGCAGTAGACAGCTTCCTGGAAACACAAAGGATGTTGCTGACATGTTAACAGTAACGAAGGTTGACGTACACAACTATTTAAGCATGGCAGAGTCCTCAAGGTAGCTGATCCGTCTTTGCCTTTTGTTGTCACCAATGATGCAAGTCAGTACGGAATAGGTGCTGCCCTACAGCAAGATGATGGCAATGGGTATAGGCTTAAATTTTTTATTTTATTTTAAATTTGGTAAAGAATTTCGATGGGACTCTGAGGCAAAAGTTGTTCAATTGATTTTTCTGCATGACATAGTTCTTTTTCGTTTTTTAATTTTTTGCTGGGCCCTTCCGTGGTCCTTGCACTGCCGGGCTGCCAGGTCAAACGAGGTGGCCCAGGCGGCCCGGGTGGTAGCCCAGGTAACTAGAGAATTCAAGCACTTGAAAGCCATCTGGTAGGCGATGGATGCTCATTGTTCTTGGAAGGTAGCAATTGTTGCAATGTAAAAGTCGCTCTTAACGTGGTTGTGGAAGGCCAGTGACTTGGGATCAAAAGCCTGCACAGATGCAAGCACAACAAGGTCTTCCATTGATACACTGAGATTATCAGAGGCTGCTTTTCTTATTGCTTGTGCCGTATGGAGGCTCATGGTTGTTGGAAGCATGTAATTATCGGAACCTAGGAATTTCATCTGGACTGTCTATGCGAGACAACCTGCGCACTCGGAGCAAGCTTGGGCTACTCTGCATTGTCATTACATGAAGAGAATTCAAGCACTTGAAATCCATGCTATAGCTGATGGATGGTCATCGTTGTTGGAAGTGTGTAATTGTTTGGACCTGGGAACTCTATCTGACATGTCTGTGCAAGATCGCGTGCGCACTTGGAGCGAGTATAGGAGCTCACTCATGATGGTGCTATTTTCTCTTATTTGTTTACATCTATTTGAAGTACATAGCCTTGGCATTCCTTTCCTATGTTGATCAGGTGAAATCACTGAAATGCCATACTTCTCCCCAGGGCCATATATATTCATATGTGCAAGGAAAATGAGCAATAGCGAGATGACAGTATTCAGCTTGCACAATCACATTGAAAGCCAGATCGTATAACAGTGTCCAGAAAGCAGCATTGCACCAATAAGACACCAATGGAGAATCGTAACACTGAAAACCAATCCCAATGAGAGCTTGCTCTCACCACCACCAACATATGTGTCCAGGCCTATCTCCCTACTTGGCGCTCGGCGTCCAGCCTACTCCCTACACAGCTACTACCAGCCTATTAATTGACAATGCAACTGTTGACGTCAGCAGCCCACGAAGTACTTGAAGATGTCACCCTTAGCAGACCATCGCCAATACCAGGTATGTGCCCTCACATCATCATCATCATCATCATCATCCTTCTCTCTCCCCCCTGACTTACACCCACGTCTTCCCTCTGTACACCCGAAGACCACCCCTGCGCCACACTGTAGTCCAAGCCTCAGCCAGCTAAGGGGGCTGAGCTATGGCGCTGCCCTCAGCAGCGCCCTCACTCACACACGACCGCACGTGCTTGCACCTTGCCTCTCAGCACCAGCAGCAGCCCACGAGTGTGCGCTCCAGCAGCGCTGCCGCTAGCATGCAAGTGCCCGAATGAGAGCCCAGGCAGCGAGCTCTTTCCTATATGGAAAGAGCCTGCCTGCCTTCGCAGCCTGGCTGGCCTGGACCTCGGCCCAGAAGCTTCCGGTAGGCCCTGGGAGGCTGCGCCGCCGTTGCAGCCACTGGGCCTCGTTCAGTTGGCCTCCCAACTGTCTGTGTATGAGGCTGCGATTCTCGCCCAGGGCCTGCATTTTCCGAAAGGCCTGGAAGCCCGTGGAATGTCTTTGCAGCTCGGCCTGTGTTTCCCTCAACCAACTGGCGCGTCACAACTGCCTGGACCCCAAAATACGAAATTGACAGCTGAGGGCCTCTTGTGATTTGTTAGCCCCGCCTTCACTTAGGACGGGGACATATGCTGCAGGGGCCCCTTAGGCCTGCCGAGGACCCAGATCCTTGCATATGTTTCATTTCTCTCCCTCTTTTCTCTCCTGTGCTGTTATCATTTTAGGTGTTCGTTTTCCCTGTTTCTCATGTTGTGATTACCTGATAGGATAAGTAGAATATGAGATTGAGTTCGTAGTGTTTCGAGGTGTAGCAGGGTAGGACTGGGTACTTTAAAGTAGTCTCTCGTTGCTCTAAGGCAGTCTCGGAACATTATGTCCAGTATATCTCATGTTATGCTTGCCGATGATAAGCAACCGGACGGGAGCCCTCCCAGAATACAAAGGGGGTTGTGTTGGTGTAAAAAAAAGAAAAAAGAAAAAAAAAGGAAAAAAACTGAAATGCCTGCCTTTTGGGTAGCTGTCTCCCTCTGCACTATACTGTGGATGACAGTTTTGGGGAAAGGAGTTGCATACCAAATGAATAACTGCTCTCTGTTTGTCTTTATTCTTGTTGCAATGGGTACTATGTGCAGGAGTGTCCGAAATAACAAGCTCACTGGGCCACTACCTGATTCAATTGGCAAGATGGCAAAACTTCAAAAGCTGTAAGTGTGATGACCAACTTAGAGAGAATGCCATACATTGCAGCTCAAGAGCAGATATCAGAACGCAAATAAAACCATTCTGTAAACATTGGCTGGGGGGAGGACCAGGGGGGCTGAATGGGTGAGGTGGCAGGGGGGACAAGGCAACGAGGACCAGGCGCAGATTATCAGAGACGACAAGCTCCTCTATCATGAATGGACTTCCATTGATGGTTCGGACTAGTTGCGGCATCCATCGGATTCCAGTGACCCCTTTCCCCAACACCCTCTCTCTTTGGTGGATCTGCATTGGTATGGAGAATAGTGTCCAGGTAGGTCTAGCTTGAATATCAGGTGGCCCCGCATGGGCGGAAGAGGCTGTCCTCTTTCCCCATCCTCATCCTCAGGGCAAGCAACACTGTCAAGATCCTTGCGTTGTATTTTTGTATGAAAGGGACGCCGGACCCATTTTCCAGGAGGTGTTGCTCCCCACCAATAAGATCGGAGCCACAGACGCTGGGATAGTACCAGGAGGTGCTCATATCACCCCACGGGACCACCCTCGATGCGGTGTTCCAAAAGAAGAAGAAGAAGAAGAAGAAGAAGAAGAAGAAGAAGAAGAAGAAGAAGAAGAAGAAGTGGATTTAGACCAGGAGAGAAGAAAAATGAAGAAAGAAAGAAGAAGAAGAGTACAAGGCTAAGCAAATCTTGTCTCCCTGCTCCTCTCGCCATGATCATCAACCGTCACATAATCACCACATCATCTTATTAACAATTAAATACAATATCTCTATCTTATTCAAGGGAATAAAGGATCTCGCATAATAGCGTCCGTGAGATGCGGTTCACAGCGGGGCCCAAAGCAGCATGGTTTTGTTTTTAGGTTTTGGGGACGATTCGTGATTTCCCGTTGGGGTTTATTGTTTCCCGGCAGCGCTGACGGGCCAGATGCTCGAATACATGCAAATGGGCTGGAGGGGGTGTTGTTTTTGTTCGTTGTTTTCGCCGGATGCCTGAATACAAAGAGTACATAGCAGGCCCATTTAGATGGAGAGAAGACCCGTGTGCAAGGAAGATGAGCAATAGCGAACTCCAGCAATCAAACAGCATCATACATATGAGTCCAGATAGTCTTGACCTCGAACCAACGGCAGAATCGCATCACGAGATACACCAAATAAGAACACACCAAGAGTTCATAATTGACAATGCTGAAGTAGTCCCATCATCATCAACGAAGAACCAGAGTTGATATCCTATCTGGCGCTCGGCGCCCAGACTACATGTGGCAGATCCTATCTAGCCTATACTACGAAGCCGAAAGATGACATCAACAGCATTCCCGAAGTACGAGCATATGGCGACCAATGTCGCACGCTTCCAGCACCAGGTATGTCTCGCGCTACGCTCACAACCTCGTTCCCCAACTCACAGATGCCACTAGCACCCAAGGACCACCCTGCGCTTCACCCAGCTTACAGCAGCGCAGCTCGGCTATGGCTGCGTGATCCTTCCCTGCTCGCCCGTGAGAGCGTAGGCGCCAGCCAGCAAATAGCGCAGCAGCAGCGCTTGCGCAGCATGCAGCCAGCACCCGAATGCCGAATGAGGAGGCAGGCCCTTCCCTATATCGAACTGGCCTGCCTGCGTCCAGTCCAGGAAGCTTCCAGTAGGCCCCGGTAGCCTGAGGCCCAGCACGAGAGGAGCAGGCATTGGGCCTGAAGTGGTTGCTTGTGCCCAACTGCTTTCGGCCTGTGTTTGGCCCGGTACCCGTATCCAGCCCAGGGCCTGCTTCACATACATTCACAAAGGCGGCCAAGGGCCTGGGTTCATTCAACCAACTGGCGCTGCGCAACTGCCTGAATTTCCTTGAGTTGCGTGGTGGCCAGAAAAGGGCCCTGAGGCCTCGTCAAGCCTGCCTTCACTTAGGGCGGCCGACGGGCTGCAAAAATGGGGCCTTGTGGGGCTCTTAGAGGCAGTGGCCTCGCACGTGACTCTCTCTCTCTCTCTCTTTCTCTCTCTCTCTCTCTCTCTCTCTCTCTCTCTCTCTCTCTCTCTCTCTCTCT